TGGATGGTTATAGAACCTCTAAAGTGATAAGAAGTTGTGCAGTCACGTCATTACTTTCCCTGAGAAATGTGGCATGTGACTGTGCTTTTTTCACAATACTATCCATCTCATTCTCCTAAGTTTTTACGTTTAGGGTCTGACGCTAATAAGAAAGGGGGAGTGAATCAAATATGCATTAAAAAGTTGAATATTTCTTCATGTAACCATTAGAGGAGAGCTGCTATTGGTTGTTGAGGATGATATTTTGCGGTAAATTAAAACTATCTTTCATCATGGTTTTCAGATAAACAAATCAACCTTCACGAAAATTGAGGAAAACTCCACTGAAAAGAAGAATACTTCAGAGAAGGGAAGGGCGACAATCATCTTCTCCCTGAAGAATGAAGTGGGAGGACTAGTGAAGGCGCTCAGACTCTTCCAGGTAAGGTTATCATGATTCCTGTTCCTTAAATATTTAAAATACAGTGTCTACATTATAGAGTAACATTTTCATACCACATATGTCTCCCAGTAACTTATTTATTTATCATACTACTGTTAAAGCAAATGTAGATGACTTAAAAATGACTCTCCATGTTTCTTGCAGGAAAACCATGTCAACCTTGTTCACATAGAGTCCAGAAAATCCAAAAGACGCAACTCTGAGTTTGAAATTTTTGTGGACTGCGACAGCAACCACGAACAACTGAACGAAATCATCCAGCTGCTTCGAAAGCATGTGAACGTGGTGGATATGGAGCCTCCAGATAACTCCTGTCTAGAAGAGGAAGGTAAATGAAACCCTGCAGATGCTGCGTAACAAATATATTATATTAGACCGTATTATCAGCAAAAACTAATTTTTTGGACTCTTCACAGAAATGTATAATGTACCTTGGTTCCCAAAGAAGATTTCAGACTTGGACAAGTGTGCTAACCGTGTCCTGATGTATGGCTCCGAGTTGGATGCGGATCATCCGGTATGTAGGCACATATCAGATAACTGGCTGACTTAAAAAAATGTAACTTCCTTAAATTTCAAGCATTCTCATTCTCTGTGTTCCTCTCCATCAGGGTTTCAAGGACAACGTCTACCGGAAAAGGCGAAAGTACTTTGCTGATCTCGCCATGGCCTTTAAACAGTGAGTTTGTCTTATATATTTTAATGGTTATTTTGGAAGTCTGTTAAGTTTTTACTTGATATTTAAAGAATTATTATGATGTTTCAGTGGGGATCCGATTCCTCGTATCGAGTTCACAGAGGAGGAAGTGAAGACTTGGGGAGTGGTGTACAGGGAGCTCAACAAGCTGTACCCCACCCACGCCTGCCGGGAATACTTGAAGAACCTGCCACTGCTGTCCAAATACTGTGAATTTCGGGAGGACAACATCCCTCAGCTGGAAGACGTGTCACGCTTCCTCAGGGGTAGGCTTGTAACTTTTACCTCATATACAAAAGTAAGAGCTGTAACTTTTATAAATATTTCCAGCTTTGTGAATGTGGTCACTCATGTGTGTTTCAAACGTCTCGTCTTCTCAGAACGCACTGGATTCACCATCAGGCCTGTGGCCGGTTATCTGTCCCCACGTGACTTCCTTGCTGGTTTGGCCTTCCGGGTTTTCCACTGTACCCAGTATGTGCGGCACAGCTCCGACCCCTTATACACCCCAGAGCCGTGAGTACTACACAGTGCTGTATCTAGAGAACAGATTCCAATGGTTACATGAAGCTATCGTCTCTAATATTGTGCTGTCTTTCATTATGAAGGGACACATGCCATGAGCTGCTGGGTCACGTCCCACTGCTAGCAGAACCCAGCTTCGCCCAGTTTTCTCAGGAGATTGGTCTCGCTTCACTCGGGGCCTCGGATGACTCCGTTCAGAAACTGGCCACAGTGAGTGACACTGATTGAGACAAGTCAAATTTTATTTCCTCAAAATCTAGAATAGTAGTCATAATCATTTCTGTCTTATCGACTCCTGTGTTGCAGTGCTACTTCTTTACGGTGGAGTTTGGCCTATGCAAACAAGAAGGGAAGCTGCGGGCATACGGAGCAGGACTGCTGTCATCTATCAGTGAGCTTAAGGTAAAAACATTTAAAAGGAACATACAGTCGACATGTTGACACAGTTTCACTCCTAAATTTTTATCATGAAGTGTGTTAAAAAGTGCCAGAGCAGCTGTATCTTAGCTATAAACCCTCCCTCTAACCAGCAAAATACATTAAGATTAATATAATTAGCAAATAAAAAAAGTCACTATATAGGTTTGGCTATATCTAAACATCTAATCCTAAAGGGTCCCTTAGAATTTCACTGTTAACCCTTTCACACAAAGTTATTACTACAGTCGACAGCTATGCAAAAGGCATTTTCTTGTATATGCAGGGGTTTTGGTGCTACAATTGCACATCAGTCAATACAGAAGCCCATAGTGCGTCAAGCCACACACTGCCACCCGCTGGCCAGCTGTTGTAACTGCAATGCAAATCTCTGAAAACCAAGATGGCCGACAGAATGCCACCAAGGCTCCACAGCTCAGGATTATCTTGCCAATCCTTCTTTGGTAAAAGACTATGAGTGGGAATCATCAGAGGCCTCACAGTACAATATGATCATAATACTTAGGTCACGATACATTACTGCAATTTTAAATATTTTGTGAGATGCTTAGTATTGGGATAACATACTGTATATTGCAATATTGAAATTTATTACCCTGCAAATTATGTCCCCAAAAGAAAACCCTGTCAACTTCTGTTTGCTCAAATAGGATAAAATTTTCAGTCCATATATCTCACTTCATCCATTTTTATTGCAGCAAAATATTTCTTGTGGAATAAAAAAGCAATTGATTTTCTTTTTCCAGGAGGCTACCAAAAGTTTCAATTTTTGATTTGCAATATTAACAATTTATATAAAACTCAATACATGGCATTCATGTATCAATACAACATTGCCATGTAAAATATCCAAATACTATGCTGTATGGACTTTTCCCCACACCCCTACAAGAGACCCTTGAAGGTAAATAAACTTTGGTCACGTCAAGTAACAACTGAGGAGCAATACAGCTGTTCAAATTTCAAAGTATGATTTTATGTTGGGAGGAAATTACAATTTATCACCTGTCTACTAAATTGGATATTGACAAAATTTTGACAATGTTTTTGTTTGTTGAAAAAGTATACAGTTCCACTGAGGGAGGTGGGGGTGAGGGCTGAGGAGTCCAAAACAAGGAGCAGAATAAGGAAGGGAGGAGTAGAAATACAGAGTGGAGAGGCTGAGGAGTCAGGAGCAAAGTTCAGCACTTTTGCATTGCATTGAATATTATTAGAATATGTCCATATATGTGAACACACTAGTTTAACAGCATTAAAAAATATAATAAAAAAATAAAATAAATAAAAAATATATATATATACATATATATTTATAGTTCTGACATATCGATTTATTCATGGGGTTATATTTCTTAGATGAAAACTCAAATGCATGCTGTCCATCTGAGTGGATATGTGAAAAAGTTCTTGAAAAATCCATAATAACTTCAGTCAGTGGTCATAATTCTTAATAAAAGAGTTCATGGTTTCTCTGATAGGTCCTTTCTTTTGTTTGAAACATCTGGATGCAGACTGGCTTGTGTTAAATCAAATGACTGAAATGTGAGCTACTCTTTACAAACAAAGGTTGCAACATCTGTATTATCTTCCTTTGTCACAGCATGCACTCTCTGGCAATGCAAGGATAATGCCTTTTGACCCCAAAGTTACATCCAAGCAAGAATGCATCATCACAACATTTCAGGATGTCTACTTTGTGTCAGACAGCTTTGAGGAGGCCAAAGTCAAGATGAGGTGAGCTCCATTTCTCAGTCAAACATTAAATCATAGTGGTAGATCTTGCATAGGTCAATGAAAATGATCTAAATATGTACAATGGATCATTAAATGATGATATTATATTAATGGTTTCAGGGAGTTTGCCAAGACTATCAAGCGTCCCTTCACAGTCCGATACAACCCTTACACCCAGAGTGTGGATGTGCTAAAAGACACTCCCAGCATCAACAGCGTGGTGGAGGAGCTTCGGCACGAGCTTGACATCGTCAGTGACGCTCTCATCCGGCTGAACAAGCAGCTGGGTGTGTGACTGCCCACATTCTAGTTCAAGTTATCCACCTACAGTCCATCAATGCTTGTTGTGTTACCCCCCAAGCACCGCTGTAGAGACACTGCTCGTGTATCGCCCTTTGTCAGTACAATGAATGTGCACTGCTTTCAGCAAAATGTTCTGTTGTCCCCACTGCATGGTTTATGGCTTACACAATTTACAGAAGTGCATTAGGTATGTTTAGCTACTGGAATCAGTAAACTGCACAAACCCAAAGAGCTGTTTAACTTGAGACACTGTTTTTCTTCTTGTACTTGGCTCAACTGGCTTCTGTATTGCAAACAATCAACATGTTTTCATGGTACTTTAGTACCCTTTTAAAACCTCCCCAGCTGTTACAAACACAGATGTGGTTTCCTCTTCCTATTGTTAACTCTGCTGTTGTATATTATCATGTGAATTTTTTTGTATTCTTCTTTTTCTTCCTTACATTTAATCTTCCTCACTCCAGTGATATGTATAAAATGTACCTTGTTTGTATTCTTTTTGTGTATGTATCATGTTCCTTTATGTTTTCTGTTGAGGGAAATTATGAAAGTGAAACCTGGTGTTATGAGAATGTTTTCATGACTGATTACGTCAGATGTGGCCCACGTACGCCGATCTATTTTATTTTACAGTGATGATTTTGAATACCTCCTCTTCAAGTGAATATAATTGTAGTACTCCTGAAATCAAAACATTATTTTTCTACTGTAAAGAAATATAGATATCATGAGCAGGCTATGTATTTGAAACTATTGAGAAAATATATAAATATATTGTGTCTTCACAGTGTGTCAAATGGTTTGTTACCTGTGGTTACTTCTTGATGTCCTCATGGTGGCAGGTTTGGTTATGGGTTAAAGATGCTGAAGGTGACACTGATGATGATCATGAGGTGCAGAATGATGATGGCAAGGTCCCTGAAAGTGATAAAAGTTATGATCAAGTTGGAATTTGTGTAATCTCAATTAAACATTGTAGGAACAGTTATCCCTTTGACCTGAGGGCCACATCACTGTCAAAATTTTGAAATAGAGTATCACTGACTCACATTTTTGGGGTTGGTTTCTTGGACACTGAATCAGTGACCACTTCTATGGGCCTGTAAAGTCTTTATGTAGCATATAACATCCTAAACAGAAATTCTCAATGTCAAGTCAAAGGTCCTCTATGTCCTACTTAGAGAAGATTATCAGTCTTAACCTTTATGATGATAGGATTTATTCACCATCATGAGTTAGTTTGAGCGAGGTGTAAAGGTTAAACCTGAGTGTCAAATTAATTAAAGTTGTATCAATAACAAAGCTACCTAGTTTTAATGTGTTAACTTGATTCCCCCTTAACCTAAACAGAAAGATTAATCTCTTAGTGGCCCTGTTTAATTCACCTAAATTAATCTAAAACGCCTATCCAAGCAAATTAAAAGAAAAAATAAAATACAATAAATAAAGCAGTTCTTGTTCCATTTCAGTACGCACATTCATGGTCTCACTCAAAAGCTAATACTTTGAGGTTGTTTCCTCAGCAGTCAGAATCACTGTGCTTCTGTCATTGAGTTATAGAAGTTTCAACACACTTGAATAAAAGTTTTTTGTTGTTTTCTATATTCATATGAATATTTTCTTGAAAAAGGATGCTCTAGATGACAAGAACTGGCAGGTATTAGCTGGAAAACACAATGGGGCCATATCATGAAGCCTCACTGAGTCACAATTAACAGTGGTTAACAGTATCACAAAAAAATAAACATTTTACGTTTTTTGAGGCTTTGTCCAGACAATATAAGAAAAAGAGGGTAAAACAATGTACTGAATGTGTGAATATCAGTGAAAACCACATCAAATGTCTATTTAGGAACTTACCTTATATAAAAACACTTCTAGAAAGCACCTTTCTCCCTTAAAACTGCTCTAAAAACAGCCAGAGAGGTGTTTCTTATACATGATGGTCATTTTAGAGGTTGTTTAGGGTGTTGCTGAACTGTGAGACGCTCTAATATTTTGTCAACCTCATTTATGTCATTGAGATTAGACTACAAAGGCTAAATACCAGAAACAGTAGGTGAAAATAAGTGACTGTACTAAACTGGCAACTTTCGGTAATATAATAAAAATGAACTACATAAATTCACCTTGACGTTATCGGTTAAAGTATAACATTAATAAATAATACATTCATTTTCTGCTCACAAAATGTCATGAAACTCCATTCTTCACCACAACAGTCAAACACCTGTTGGCAGCAGGCTTCACGACAGTGTCGCAAATTATGATGCAACGTTACTCATGGAAACCAGAGAAACGAGCTCGCGGGAGGAGTTTTGTTTACACTCTTGGGTAAGTTCGTTATTTTCACCGTTAATGTGTTAAAGTTGTGTATATCTAACTGTGTAGTTTAATTAACTCAAACACTCACCGGCAGCAGAGTGACACTTCGATGTTGACGTTAGCTTAGCACTTTTGCTAACGTTAGCTTAACAGTTAGCGAACTAGCTCCAACATACAAGTATCACTAAGCAACGGTTACCTCATAAATGTTAACGTTAGTGCTGTTCAGTATTAACGTGGGTGATGTCGTGTCAGGGAGCCAACAGCTACGGCCAGCTGGGACAGGGACATGTGGAGGACCTGTCGGAGCACCGGCTCACTGACAACACCGCCCTGCAAGACAAGACTGCCCGGGCTGTGTGCGGCGGCGGGGGTCACTCTGTGGTTATCACCGGTGGGTTACCGTTCGCTCCTTTTCCTTTCAAACACGAGGCTGAAGAGAGGTGTTCAGAAATGTGAACCAAGCCTGAACAAGCTGTGATCATGTGGCGCCCCTGGTGGGCCAAATCAGTAAAAGGTTAATGGCTGTATTTAGTTAGGTAAAGTCAAATTTATTGACAACACAAATCAGTCTCTGCTGAAATTCAGCATCCTCCCTTTGGATAATTACAAACTCCCTCCACCCCAAAAATCCAAGAAACCTCAGGAAGGGAAATTTGGGAGGGATCTGTGTGGACATATTTCCACATGTATTTTGTATCTAGTTGTACTTTTATCTACTGTTAAGACCTTGTTCTCTTATTTATTTTGAAAAAATGTCCTCCAGTGACTGGTTAGAGAAAAGTCAAATCAAACATTGACTGAGGAAATCACTGCAATGTGTTAAATCATAAGATCAAATCAGGAGTGAACAAATATTTGTTTTTTCTTCACTTATTGATTCAATTTTGAGGGCTACTTTTATTGAATATTGGTTATATTGTGTGCAGAATTAAAATAGCATAAAGAGTATATGAATGAATGAATGAACTTTATTTATATAGCACCTTTCATGCTCAAAATGCAGCACAAAGTACTTTACAATTCAGCAAAATAGAGAAATAAAACCATACAATTATACAACACTAATTCAAGGAGAAAAGAAAAGAATAAATAAATTTATCAACCAATAATTATCAAGCATTAAAAAAGGCTATATGTTATATTAAAAAGATGAGTCGTCATTTACAATTGTCCTCTGAGCTAGCAAGTCTAATATTTAAAGGCAGGGTGTTCCATATTTTTGGGGCATAGTAGCTTAAAGAAACATCCTCAAAGGTTTTTGTACTGACATTAGGAACAGATAGAACGCAGCTGTGGAGGATCTCAGGGTTTATGGAGAGACATAAGGTGATAGGGAATCTATTATATAGGAAGGGGCGATGTCATTAAGAGCTTTAAAAACCAAAAGGACGATTTGACTGTCAACTCTCAGTTTTCCAGTCATACCTATTTTATGAAACTTAAAGCCTCTTTAGGGACCACAGTATGCAGAAACATTTAAATACACCATTTCTAAAACTGGCAATACTCCTTTTTCCCTCACCAAAATTTAGCACAACACTGGAGCATTCTGACTTAGCAAACCCACCTCACAGGTTTACATTATAGCAACACTTGTTAGTTCTACACATCGCCCGCCTGACCTATGTCAGATGGACTGCCCTATTTGACAATACCTGCAGGGGATGGGAGTGTCAGATGGCACGTCCAAATGTGTTTTAATTATATATTACAGTTATTTTTCATGTAAATACATATAACTTGTATTGTCAGTGATTTAAGTCAGTAAGTAAGTTGTTGTACTTTATCCCATTAAGGGCCAACCATAGACCTTTAAATGGGCCTCCCTTGGCCTTGGTCTGGGGTCATGTGTACCCTTTGACCCCCCTGATGGTGGGCCTGGTACAGAATACACCAACATAATACAGTCACTAAATAGACAGTCCATGACAAAATTACACATAGAAAAAGATGCATCCAGGAAGATGTCAAGAAGCTTGTCCCTCTTACCTGGAGAGAGAGGACAGGCCATACAAACTCACAAGACACAAAACTGAAGCACATAATTCACATAGACCAGAGAATGAATACAAGAAGGGGAGCTGAAGGCTGAAGAGAGTTATTTGTTCATTTGTATTTGCCAAACATTTATCCAGTGCCACACAGAATTATAAAACACCACTGTGTACCAGACATCAAAAATATACAGCAAGATTATTGAGAAAAATCTAAGCAGCCAAAAGAAAAACTTAACATTCACATCCACACAATTTACAAATAGATTGTGCAGCAAATAGTACAAGATGGAAACTGCCTTTACTAAATTTGATCTTTTTCTCCCTCCTCATCTTAGAAGGAGTGTAATTATATGCACATCACATGAAGGTGCAAAGCGACTAGGAAAAAAACTTTTTAATTCAGTGTCTGTTTAAATACATTAATGGGTTGGAGTCAGTGTGTAGTTGTGTCTCTTTTTGTTATTTTTTCCTCTTCTCCCAAGCTTCCAGTAACTATCTAATTTAAATGTTTTGTACATGAAAAGCCAACTCAGTTGATGCTTTCCAAATGTTTGTGTTGTGTTTTGTGTTGGACAGGGCATGGAGATGTGTTTGTGTGCGGACAGAATCACAGAGGCCAGCTGGGACTTGGTCACAATGCAGACATCTCAACTTTTCAACTCTGCCCCATCCTGAGTCAGAGAGTCACTAAAGTCGCCTGTGGTTGGGACTTTACTCTTCTTCTCACTGGTGAGAACCATTTTACACCAGGGTGTGGTGCTCTGTTATAAATGTGCATGAGATTCGGAAGGATTAGGACAGTTTCATGAGAGACTGTTAAGCATATACCCCAGTGTTCCTTTTAGGCAGAGATACAGTAGTAAATAGGATAGGGGGATGTTTTTTTGTTTTAAAATGTGCTATATTAATAAATTTGATTTGATTTGAATATTGCAATCCTACAACTGTGTTTCATTTTCTGATGACACATAATGAAAATGCAGCCTTAGATTCACATTCTCAGTGATCATGCCTGTCCTAAAACCAGCAGCAACTGGAGGGCTCTCATGCAGACTGTTTTTGCCCCTTCTGTAAGCGTGCAGTCTTGCAGACTTTGAGGGAGTTACCCAGAATTCATAGCACAGTAATGTTAACAATGGGAATGACAGATGAAGCCTGAAGCTGCCTTCCACCCAGCCAAATATTGAATATATTTCAGTGAGCTTTATTTTAGAGATCTTTCTTTTCTTTTTATGTCACACTGACAGACTGTGGTCGAGTACTGGCATGTGGCTCCAATTCATTTGGACAACTAGGTGTTGGACAAACAATCAAACACTCTGCAGATCTGCTGGTTGTTGAGGTGAGCACATGGGCGGTGTGTATTTAACTTACTTCCAGGATCATAATACAGCCTCTTTAATGTTTGCCATATCTTTATCAACTCAATCCTGGGTGATCAAAACTGCTACAAACCAGCTTCACCTCATGATCAGTTTGATTCTTTAAAGCAGATGTCACTGTGCTGTTTGTTCTCAGAGTCTGAAGGAGTCAGTGGTGAATGTAGCAGCAGGACTCAGACATTCACTGGCTGTGACTGGTAAGTTTGCACCAAAAACATCATCAGTGTGTTTTCATTCAGCAGTCAATGCACAAATCCTAATGTGCTGTTCTGCTCTCAGACTCAGGCTGTGTATATCAGTGGGGAAGTGGTCTTTCCAGTCATGCTAAGAGAGCACTCAGTCCACACCCTGTTCCTGCACACCTCAACTCTACAGTGCCCTCTTTGGTACCAGGTAGGCTAAGTGAAACAGAAGTAGTTACAGAAAAGAAAGTCTTTAAGCACTCTGTGATTTACAGTGCCAGTGATGATTGATGAATGTGACCAGATACTTGTGCCTGTGTTGCAGGTCTGGATCAGAAGACAGCACTAATGGTGACTGCAGGCTCAGCACACTGTGGGTGCCTCACAGGTGTGACACTAGCATATATGACCATCTCAATGCTGTGTTGATGTCTAATTTGGTTTATGTAGCACAAATATGTGTCTCCGACTAAGAAAAACATTCATACGAGCCTCCAAAATTGCAATATGGACATGTTGGAATGTTTGTAGGCTCCAAACTTGCAGAAGATTGTTAACACCGCCAACAAACAAGACAGCAGATTTACTTAATTTAACAGCCAGAGGTGAAAAGAAAAAGCTTGATTTTGTGTCGTGATTTTGGATGTATGCATTCCACCAAGATATTTGCACCAGCTACAATAGGAAGTGGCTTCCAAAGCTGGAACCTTCTTTCGAACAGACAGTTCAAGTTTAGATGGAAATGGGTTTTCTGCTCACAGACATAAGACAGGCTATAATTTAAAAGCAGTCATGTAAAACATTTTGTACTGCTCTGTCTCAGAGGGAGCATTTACATTTTCAGGTCGTACTGGCGAGTTGTGGCCTCCCCTCTGTCCTGTAATTAGTTGACCAGCAACACTCAATTACTGCTCTGCCTTTCTGCTGCTGCCTCTGCTGAATGAAGAATAATGTCTCTTCTGTCATGTGTGCAGGAGACGGCGATTTGTTTCTGTGGGGAAGCAACAAGCATGGCCAGCTGACCGCCACAGAGCCCTTCCTGTCCTCTCCCACTCTTGTAAAGCGCTCACTGCTGGGTGGAGAGAAAGTTGTCCACGTGTGGAGCGGCTGGACACACACTGTTGCTCAAACAGGTGAAACATAATTACACATATTAGTTCTTGGACGCTCACTGGTTTTCACAGGATTTAAAGGACAGTTGCCAACAAGGTCATCATTCATTCCAGAGAGTGGGAGAGTGTTGACATGGGGCAGAGAAGATTATGGACAGCTGGGCCGACAAACATCAACCAGTCAGAACTCAGAGGGGCAGTCAACAGGTCCTTCAGCAGAAGGTGGAAACCAGCCAGCTTGTTGCCCTGCAGAAGTTAAAGTCCTCCGTGGCGCGACACAGGTAAGACTTATCAGTGTTTGCCACCTCTACAGACTGAAAAACACAGAAAGCATCTGATAAACATTTATACATATAATGCATTTTAGCAGAGGTCGGATCAAGTCATTGTTTTGCAAGTCACAAGTAAGTCTGAAGTCTTTGCACTCAAGACCTGAGTCAAACCCCAAGTCCTAAACTTTAGATTTTGAGTCAAAAATTAGTCATAATGCATTCTTCATCAAGAACCTTGTGATTTAAACCAATAAAAACACTGAATAAAGCAGTTTCACATAAAGAATAAAATAAAATAAATGTTTTTGGGACGCTATCCTTAGCAGAGTGGTTGCTTTCTACAGTAGCCGATGCAAAACGAAAAATGCCCCTTTCTAGGGTCAGTATTTGGTTTGTCTGCCTTGGGCTACTGTAGAAACATGGCAGTGCAACATGGAATTGAATCGCCGTGGACGAGGGCCTGCTCCCTATGTAGATATAAGTGGCTCATTCTAAAGTAACGCAAACACAATGATTCCTATTTTCAGATTATAATACACTAAAGAAAACATACTTACTATATTTTATTCAGTTTCAGCAAGAATATCCCCCTAAATTGTAACACTGGACCTTTAACTCAAGTCATATTAGAAAAATATCTACAACTTTCCCTTCCCAAATTTGTAAGACATTTTCTTTAAGACTAGTCTTCGTTCAAAATTATATGTATGTTGTGTCATGTATTATGTCTAAAGGAAATTAAGGTCAACGTTAATTTGTTCAGGAAATGAGGGGAAATTAATTGGTTTTTTTTGGATAGTTTTAAATAACATACTGTCAAATTTTGGGCTTGGGGGGAAGTATCAAGTATTTCCAAGTCAAAAGGCTCATTTTCAAGTGAAGCCACAAGTCATTGGTGTTTAAATCCAAGTTGAGTTGAAAGTCTTTTTTTAATCTAAAGTTAAAGTTAAATCTAAAGTCGTCAGATTTATCAAAGTCTAAAGTCATGTAACTCTGCATTTTAGATAAAGTTTAAAGACCTACTCTATTGATTCCTGCTGCTGTGGCCGTTGTTGTCCTGTTTTAGCAGAACATGTCTGTGTAGTCAAGCAGGGGGCAGCAGACAACCACAAACCAAACAGGTCGCTGAGGGTTTCTCAGTGTGAGGTGAAACACAGTGTGACTGAGTGAGAGCCAAGCCCTCTAAGAGAAGCTTCTTAATGATTTGCATCACTATATCTTCCGTGTAGAGCGCACACATACTGCCAGAGGACCACTTACGTTTAGTGATGCCAGAGGTCTCTTCTCCCATAAGGGCAATTATTTGTGAGCGTCCAGGGATTGCAGCAGTTAACCTGAGGTCTAAATGGCAGCAGTATTGTAGGAGATCGTTGCCAATAAAGTGAATGTCAGGGACGGGCAAGGGCAAGCTCTGGATCACTCTCCCACTGCACACATGATCATTGCTGCAGCACTCGCGTCTATCAAGGCGTAGTCACCTTGTGTGTGTGTGAAGCTAAAGGCAAGATGGATTAGCTGCTGGAATTATTAATCTCTCAGCCCACCCTACCATGTTGGCTCCTCCTAACACTGTCTGCACACCCCTTAAGAGTCAATATTTATTAAAGTGTCACATTTTTATGAGGCCTATGAACATTACTGGAGTAACAAATTATAACCTGTCAGTGGTTCAGGTGTCAGGGTGCGTTTCTATTCATGGCTTGCCACAGCTGTGTGCTTTATCAGGGTAGGTCAAACTTTATTAGCAACACAATTCAATGACTTTTATTGCAAATATAAGAAAGCCTTTACTCGTGTTGACGTTTGTATATTTCAGGGTAAGAATTTAAATTTCTTCGCTCAATTCTTGTAGCAGTCATGAAGGAGGAAGACTGCGGGGGAAAAAGGCCATGAATTGGTAAAAGGCTTCGGTCATCAAAGGCAGGCACGGCTGTCCTGAGACAGTTGCTCCTACAGATAGACCAGCAGCAGTGTGTTTAAGCTTTTATGAATGAGCTGGCATTTCTGCAGTTTTTCTGCTCTACTCTCTGATGATGCACTGTGGAACGAGGGCTTTATAGTGGAGCGTCTAATGCATCTACGGGCGAAATCATCACTAATGTTATTTGCGTTTAGTGCACTTGTGTATGCAGTTTTGAATAAACGCTGGATGACTACATCTTGACACATGGACTTTTATTTCACTTTCAGAGAAGATTTGGTTACAAGGTGTCTCAGTATCCATGTTGGCATAACAAATTGTGCATATTATAGTCTTAAAATTGGCTTCCTGCTTTCAACACACATTATAAACACTTCTCTCTCTTCTTCTCTACAGATTGCATGCGGATCTGAGCATAACCTTGCCATCGTAGGTGAGTGTAATTTTTTTTGGCTTCTGTTATTTTCAAAAACTATATCAGAACTCTGCAATGTTGCTGCAAAAAGATAAGCATAAACATCTAACATAATGCACAACTGCACTGGAAGATACATCAAAGAAGAACGGTAGCAGAAATAGTTTGAACTTAACAGTAATGGTTTCAGTAGGTGCAAAGTGCCTGAAACAAGAGACTCCACTTTTGGCCTGACATGACTCTGGCTCTTACTAAATAAAAGAATAGGGAATACACATTGAATCAAGGAATGAGAAAGGGAACTATCTAATACATTACAGTTTAACATGAGTGTGAAATATTAATCCTTCTGGTAATGCTGCAGAGGATTTCTGAGGTCAGCTCATTGCTCTGTGGCCTTTGCATCAGGAAGTAATTACAGCATGGATAGATGGGTATCATTGAAAGAGGCAATTACCCGAACAGGCCTGCAAAAGAGCTGAATTAACCGCACACATTTACAGGCATGTTTTTCCAGTTCCAGTGTTTGCAGATCAGTCTCCCCTTTGTCCACATAAGAACAGAATATAGGCAACGCAGTTACACACATCCCTTGAATAATACTAAACAAACAGACATATGTGGTCATGTGTTTGTGGTTCCTCATCAGATTTCCAAAGATAATAAATGTGCTTCTATTCTTCCGAGGCTTGCCAAAAGTCTCCTAGCTGCAGAAAACATTTTGGAAGTAAAATCTTTTGCATTAAATTTTGAACAGTGACCCACTTTTATACATCGGCATGAATATAGATACCGCAGATGAAGAGTATAACACAAGCACATGGTTCCATTAGAGAGGAAATGCTGGACATCGCTGGTATTTCTACAAGCAAATGGCCATCCACTTTTAATGTTCTGACCAATTTGAGCAGTTAACTGGAAATGCCATTATAATTAGGAAACTGTTAACGCTGAGTGTCCATCATAATGGCTGTTCTCACAAAGCACTGCTCTGTGCTTCCAGAAGTTCAGTGATGTGATGAGAAAGCAGAGCCAGTAAATGGCGTGCTCATGTGAACCTCCTGCACCTGGCTCCTCAGCTCCTCTGCCATGCTCTCCTCTTTCTCCTCCTCCTGTCTGGAGCGCGGCGGCAGGAGCAATGAAATAGCAAAACAGGATTGGAAGCAGAGACCTGAGTGCTGCTATTTCTGGTGCTGAAGTAGGTCAGGCGGAAAGGAACGGAAAGCATTGCATGCTGCTCATGATATCTGTTGCCTGCTCAGCCTTTGCCCATTTGCACCTGAGGAAGTGCTCCTCATGTATGAAAATCATCGTCGTGGTCAGACGTGGGAGACAGGCCAAAGACGCTGTGGGCACAGCTCATCCAATCTGAGGAAAGATTTTTGTTAATGTGAACATTTTGAACTTAACAGGAAGGTATAAGGACAAACACCTTGGATCAGGTCCTGTTTTATCTCGCTGGTATAGTGTGATGTAAGTTCTGCAGATTGCACACTGTGGTTTTGTTAATTAAGTGTGAGATTTTAAACTGTCGAATGCAGAAACCAAATGACGGGATTTGTTTACAAGGAAATGGCTTTTGGCTTGAGTGTCTTGATTTTTTTTATCCCTTTGTTGTGCAGAATATTGTGCAGGCACTTTGTTGCCATGGAAACACTGATGTGCTGTACTCCAGTCAGTGAGTCCATGAATCGAGCACAGCACCAAAACAAGGCTTTTTTTCCCCAATGAACTAAACATGTCAACACATTAAGCTCACTCATAAACGAGAACTAGGATGTTTACTGAATAACCTTAATCAAACATGGAGACTCATGCAGTTATAGACGCATGCAGAATCTTAAGGACCGAGCAACATGTGTGTTTGTTACGTGTAAGCCGTATCTGGCACAGTGTCACACTGGCATAAGTTGCTGGCACGATATCCACTCTATTAACTGGCGAAAGCATATGTGTCACTTGGCGAATCCAAATCTTTGATGCCACGGATTTGCAGAGACGAGCTGAAAGGAAACAAAGAAACCCCTCGATGAAAGGAATGAAAAGATTGCATGAAAGACACACAACTGCAGGATGGGGAAAGCTTGAAGATGTGTTACCCTTGAGAAAGCAAGCTCGCTTCTGTTGCCATGGCAATGGAGCCTATTAGGTAACTGTGTTGCCATGGCACGTGTCTCCTCGGTGATGCAGACCTGACCACACCCACCAACAAGCTCACCAGCTGTGAAGAGCAGGGAGGCTTTATTGCTGGCTGAGTGTCAGCATTGGGGACAGAAAGAGAGAGAGAGAGTGTGTGTGTGCGTGTGTGTGCGTGAGTGTGTGTGTGTGTGTGTGTGTGGGTGTGTGTGTGTGTGTGTGTGTGTGTGTGATCGCATGCCTTCTGTTTTTTTGCACCCAGGCTTTTTTTTCTTCAGGCTACTAATTTTAGCCTACATGGTACAGTGCTGCAACCCCGTCCCTCTCTCCTGTCAGCTCCACTGACCCATAACCCCTCTCCTCCTCTTCAGGGGGTTGTCTCCTCTCCTGGGGCTGGAACGAACATGGGATGTGTGGAGACGGTTCACAGAGCGACGTTTTTCAGCCGCAGCTCGTTTCGGGTCTCAGACCTCTTCTCATTGGCTGCGGAGCCGGACACTCTATGGCAGTGTGCGCTGCGACCGCTGACTCAAGACTCAAACTCTGCAACGACTCAGTATCATCGGAGCAGGAGCATTTATTCAGCACGAAGGGGTCGGAGACAAGACACACAGAATGATTTTGTGAATTAACATATCTCTGACTGACTAAGTGGTGTTTATGATTATTCTAAGTGCCTCTGAATATAAAGTAACTTTCACCTTGTAATAGGCCACTTTAAAAAGATCAGGCTTTAAACTGCACTCGTCATAAATACTGTTATGTGTTTGGACACAGGCTGAGTTACGTTACATGTGGACAGAGGCCATCATTTCTCTTACCAGCCCATCACTTTCATGGACGTGACTGGGAGCCGATGGCTTTGCAGGACATGGCCATGCCTATGGCTCCTGGTCTACCTGCCATGTTTGTCTCCCTGATTGTAGCCGCTATGGATCATGTGAGGGATAGGTTAGACTGGTGCTATAGCTCCATCTTCCCATGTCAGCAGGTTTATTGCTGTGATCTTGGGTGTCAGGAGACAATCAATCTCTGCACTTCATACTTGGTCATCTCATGATTTACCACTTACACATAAGAGTACAGTATTTTTTCTTTGGCAACTGTCCATCACTTATTTATATTCTTGGCAGTCTGTGTCATATTCGTCAGCGTTCTGTTTGTCTCATTTGCACCTCTTTCATGCTGTATACTTCATTAATCCCTCTTGGGGGAAATTCGCCCCCTGCATTTGACCCAACCTACATATTTATAAGCTGTGGGCGGCCGCAGTGCAGCACCGGTGACCAAATGCAGGTCTGAAGACAGTGTTGTGGTCAAGGGCAATGGCAAAACTCAGCATGGCTCATTGATGCAATTTGTTCACTTTTTTTTATTTAAATGTTTTTATTTTGTCTTTATGATTTATGCAATTTAAATAAAAACCCATTTGTGTCACTGAAATTATGCATTAGTAAAAGTTAAATTAATGTGCTTATACCTGGATTAGTTTGAAAAAATAAATCAACACTCGTTGAAAAAAGATCATTTCTGTGTTTTTTTTATTTATCACTATTTATTGTACAAGCCTGAACTGTATTGGTCAAAAAAGACAAAAAATCCCTAAACAACAAACCAATCAAAATGATCACTGAACACCTTATTGAGATAACTAACCACAAAATGCACGGTGTTCAAAACACACACACTGAAGTCTCACTAAATGGCACCTTTAGTTGCCTCGTAGTTGTTTTTTGTCTCGTTTTGTAACAGCTGCTGTTTTTATTCCGTGTCGGCCAATGACCAGCACACTGTCCCCCATGTTTGTGCTCAGCTCTGTTGGCAGATTCAGTTCTGCTGTACCTGACTGCATACAGTTCTCAGTAGGTTGTTGGCAGTGTGTTTGCAGTTGTTTGTTAAAAAGTTGGTCCCTTTCCACTAACTTTTCCACACCAACAGTGAAGCAGTACTTTGCATCCAGTAGCTCTCCTCTCTGTTTTTAATTAGGTATGCTCATTACTTGCCTTTAGAAGCTGATCCCTATGGGGGTCCTTATTGTATCTGTGTGCTTATTGAATACTGAACTGGTGCTTGCTTTAAACGGCTGGTGACTGATGACTAATGTGAAATAAAATGTGCAAATAATTTATCATGTCGGTTAAGCTATACTCCTGAATGATAAGAAGAATTTGCATAACAGAGGCACTTGTCCAGTGTGATGTGTGTAATGTTTGGCATTGGTTAGTATTACATATTAACAAACACGCCAATTTGCATATGTGCAGAAAAAGAATCATAATTCAATTCTACATGATTGTCAATTAAAAGACACTACAGAATAAGTATGACTGTTTGAGCTGTGATATGAGTCAATGTATTTTATACATAAGCTGTCTTTGTTTATCAAAGCATAGCTACGTATGACGATATATCAACATTTAATTCATGTTGAATATCTGTTTTCCCTTTGTGAATATCCCTCTTCAAGTTTTGATAAACCAAACAATTATTTACCAATTCTCAGCAGCAGACTTTGCCATTTTTAATGCCTCATAAATTCAAGGTAGGAGTGGTGTTTTTTTTTTTTTTTTTTTGGTTTTGTTTTTTCAGTATGACACTTTTTTTTGTGGATGTTATCTCTTTGATGCCTGAAAACATATCAAAGGAATGTTAAAAATTCACTGGTGCAAAACAGTGCAAAAGTCTATAAAGATGTGACGATGACAGTGCAAAGTTTAAACGATTTCTTTCAAACTGTTTAGTCTGGCTGACATGACACGTGACATTGTTTCTGTTTTTTTGTTGTCGTTTTTTCTTTTTTCTTTTTTTGCCAGGGTGATTAAAATTGGAGCAACATTTTTTTTTCTTTCAACAGAAGAAGCACACAGATATTTGATGATCACTCAAAAAACATTGGGTACACACAACTTCAGCACACAAAAAAAGCGTATTTACAGCACTGGCACACACCAAAAATAGGCACACAAATTACAACACAGTAACCAGTCACAGATACTGACCTACATAAGGCTTGACAACAAAACTTCCTCAGTGCTACATCTATGCTGAGTTTGTGATGTACAGGTTGTCACTGTCACACCCATTTAAAAAGACTAAGTAATACACACAACAATGCTACAGCACTATCAGGTGGGTGATGGGCCATTATGGGTCATACACATAGTGGTTGGGACACCATGGTTCATAACACAAACTGACTCTGTTGGTTGTCTGCTCCGGTGCTGTCGCTGGGTCTCTATAAACATATAAAAAAACAATAACAAAAATAAATTATTACACAAATTATGTGGAATGGTGGAAATGATGGCGATGATGGATATCTCTGCAACGGATGAGACATGACACTAGCTTGGAGAGTAAAGAAAATGTGCTCCATTAGTTCGTCATGGTAAACGACAGGTTTACCATGTGTTTCCCATGCTTAGCCAAGGCATCAGACAACGATGTACTGTCTGTGTGCAGAGGTTAGATTCTTGAGTCGGTTAATAAACATGCCCAGTCATGCTGCGTTTTACAGGTTGATGTACAGTAGTTCGGTCATTGTCATGCGTTTGTATACTTTGCGTCATGCTCTCACAGTCACCTCGGGTTTTTTTAAGGCTCTCTTTGACCGGGTAAACGGAGGGTCAAACAGCGGTTCAAAGCACTAGCTGTGAGCTAGTGGGAAAGGAAAGATGTATGTATGCATGTGCTGTTGAATAAAAACGGAGTCTAAACGCTCGTTGTGTATAAAATTTATTTCATGCAAGGACTTATATTTACATATTTTTATTTGAATACTTTTCTGTTGCATAAATGGAAAATACATGCATTTACCTTTCCCCAAGTAGACCCACATCCCATGCTGTGTCGTATTGTACTTTTTTTTTTTCACTTGAATTGCATGAGCATATAATTCACCTGCATCTCTTCACATCAAATCTTCACAAGGTTTTTTTTTTCTTAAATATATAACGTCCATAAATTACCACAAGAGACATGACTCGAAATGTAAAACTCTGCTCATTCAGAATAAAAACAAAACTTAGATGACTTGCTATACTTATATCTTCCTCTAGAAATTGACATTTCTGATTGGTCAACATAAAATTTGTTAAAGTGCCCTGAAAGAATTGTGCATAATTATTGGGACAGCATCAATACATGTAACAGTAACAGTATCGATGTTTTAAATCAATAGACATACATGCTGCCGAAGTCATCCTGACATCTCTGGTAACTCGATATATTTTGGCTCTGTAGAGTTGCCTGGTCCCCTTTAATAATTTGTGCTTTATCATACAAAAATTCTTGAGATGGGGACTGTAAAGTCAGTGTTTTCAGCTGTTATTTTTACCGCTATTAAATCCTTAAATCCTAGTGTGTGTTGGATGGTGTAACAATAGTAACCAATTTACTGTGACTAAGGGTACAAGGGTGGTGCAAAAAGGTACAAGATGCACCGTATAAAATAAAGCTTTCGTTACACTGTTATGAGCATGTTATAAAGTGTATTGATGCTACACTGGGAGCACTTATGTAATATCATGTCAATTTATTACTCGCTTTTACTTTGCCTCGCCAGGTATGAAGGCACCTTTGTTTTATAATTCATGAGTCTCGCCTTAATTTAGGCACAGCAGCAGAAATAGAAGTTGCTGCAGACTACGGATATTGTTGAAAAACTAGAACTACCAGTAAATATATTTGTATAAAAACTATTTATGCTCATAACAGCATTAGTTGGCTTTATGACAGATCGTTCAAGTCAAATCGCTATTTTAGTCGGAGGCCCCAGTCAAATGAATACAAGAAAATAAGTATATGAATTTGGGGAAAGGCAAAGAATGGCGGCTACATAAAAACCTCTGCTATGACTGAGTCTCTTGTAAAGCTGTCTCAAAATGCATAAAAATGACAAAGCTTTAGAAGCTTTTGAAAGAAAAAACTTTTTTTTCTTACAGGTACTGCGATACAGTTAGCTTCTTGTTGAACATAATTTCTCATGCAGTTCATGCAAATGAACAAAACAGTTTTAGTTCTGTTGACATTAAAATGTATTCATCACTAGTATCATAGGAATTGTCATCATCTCCATATTGCATTGGACATCATGAACATCGCGTTCATTTTTTTTTTTTTTTTTTTTTAATGGCCACTCAGGTAACATTGAGCCTCGTCTGGATTGCACTTTCAGAATGATAACGTCTCTACTTTGCAACGTACAAAGCACTTAAAAGGAGTTCCCTTAACAGCTGGCAATGGTACCTTTTGGATATGTTTCAGAGCCACGTATTGTTAATGTCCAGCATATTATTAGCAGGGGTTACATCTTATGAAAGTTTCTTTCACAAAATTGTAAAAAGCAGATGAGATAAAAGTTACTGGCAGAAGAGTATGCGAGATCAAAAGCAACAGAGCAACAGGCAATGATGTAAACACAGGGAAAGAGTGGGTTTAGCCTGAACAGTGCTTTGTCTGCAACTGAGGTGACCCATGCAGAGTGGCATGTGCCAATGTTGTCTAGTCTAGGATATGATGACACACCCAAGGAGAACACTTGGGTAAGCTTGAGTATTAGACACAGTTAAGATACAGTTTTCCAGAAAAATAATGAAAGAAAAATGAAAGAAAACCAAAAAAAGCAAGAGTGAAGGCAAGTGTAAAAGCAAAATTTGACAGGTAAGATAAGAAGGAGGAGTGTGGACTGGCCTTCCAATGGCATTGTGTCTGCTACTCAACCATGCTACATAATGGATGGGATGGGAGAATGTGAGTGCTGCATTAGACAAGGTGGGCTGCAGGGCAGGGCGGACACTGAGGACACTCCAGAGGCATCCCCGCTCATGCCAGACATGCTGTTAAGGCTCCAAGGCTTTTCATAACCTTCAGTTGAAAAACAGAGAACGTTCTGAGTACACTGCAGCACTGAATCCATGACAAGACTGTTTTTGGCTGTTTTCCTCACTGGTAATACTACACCTGTTGCTTTCTTGTTTTTGTCTCCAAAGAAACAGGTCAACACAGACTTGAGACAGATTATTATTCTCCATGCATTGAGTGCATCAGGAGTACAACAGCATGCACCGGGTGGTACTGGAATGGTTTGGAGTATAACACTATAAAAGACTTGAAAAGGTAGGCACCTCAGGCAGGGAATGTGTTTTCAGCTACAGGTTGAATTTCATACTGTAGGCCATTTACTGGTAGTGTGCTGGCTGCACTCACAGACCGACGTGACTTACTTAGAGGAATGTTTGGTGGATAAATACTAAATAAACACAAAGGCTTTAACCCTGGTATTAAAGTGTAAAAATCAGTAAATTATAATTTGGCTCTAAATAACATTAATAATAATATTTAGCCTTCCTCCATTTGTGTTGTGCTCCTTCACCATACTGATAGCACCCATCAGCAAGACACTTCATGCACCATTATGGTCAAGAGCAATGTACTCATAAATCAGGATCCTGCATGGTATTTATCATTAAAACACATATACATACATGGTACACACATAGCACATAAATACTTTCTTAGGCATGTAAGACAACACATTCTAGATCATATCGAAAATAGCTTTCTTACTGGTAAATAAATAGGGGTATTACATTATGCATGGTATCAAAAAATATATTATGTAGATGTGGACAATTATTGACATTTGTGGTGATTGTGCTTGGCCTTAACAGATGTTTGTGTGACTTGAAATATATTTACAATTCCAAAAGGGATGATTGAGGAGAAGCAGCTGCTGTGAAAGTGTGTAATAAGAGGTTTGTTGTTGTGTTTGTGTGTGTATGTGTGTGTATGTGTGTGTGTGTGTGTGCCTGTGGAAACACTGAGGCGTAACACTCAGCAAAGAGAAGGAAAAAAGGAGCGTGTCCTGTCTACGGTCTACAGGGTGTCAGTGTCTTACAGGGGCCTGTGATTGGCTGTTACTGTACGTACCCCTCCTCACTCTGCCCCCTGTGTGGTTGGGGCGTTCAGCAGTGGTGACCAGGAAGCAGGGCCGCTCTCTGTCGCTGGGGCTGAAGATTTCCTCCGGAGATATGGCCTGGTCTATATGAGGGCAATCTTCGTTGGCCAGCGCTGCATTAGCTGCCTCACCGTTTAGCTTGGAATCTTGGGAGAAAACAATGAAGAAAAGAAAAAACAAACAAAGGAAACGAGGTTCAAACGCAATGAAGTGGCTTCTGTGCAACTTAAATGTGGAACAAATTGCCAGATGCTGAAACCTGAAACACTGCTGACCACTTTCAAATCCAAGCACCATTGTTTGAATTAATTTTAAAGGAATACTTTACCCACAAATGACCATCTGTTTATGAATTAATTATGCTGTGTTACCAAAAATTCATGGAGAAAAATCTGTAAACAGCGAATGTATTGATTTATTGACTAGGGACCTTGTTTAACAACAGTAAAACTATATCAAAACATTCTTTTACAAACAGTTACACAACTTCTACAGAATAATCCAAGTCTCATTTCTCCAGTTGTGTGCTCGGTATTTCCATAACACATATATCTTCACTAAAAACCATGAGTATCAGAGTCTGGCTTTAAAGCATAGACTGTAAAAAATAACTGACATAGCTATCGTGATGTCACACATTGGTTTGAAGCCTCAAGTCTGGCATTGTGGCCATCGCCATCTTGGATTTTTGAAGCCAGAGGTCACCATATGTGGGTGAGAGGCTGGCTCTGTGGAGGAGCGAGGGGTGGATCTGACTGAGAAGCCAACAACACTGTTGCCAGACAGCCTGTCACTCAAAGCGGCCTGCCCTTAATTATGCATACATGTAGGCCTACATGAAAAATGGCTGCATTATATAAAAATTCACCCTCCACACAGTTGTCATGAATGTCGAAATTAAACATAGACACCGAATCTGTTTTTGTAGCAGGCTGTAAACATGTTTATTTCTACTGTAAATTCTGGCATTGTAACATGAGTGTCTTTGGGGATTGACTGGCGCCTGGAACCAGCCTCAAGCAGCTGTTCAAAGAACTGCAGTTTTTGGCACCTCCATTGTGGCTTCACTTCTCAGCCCTAGAGGTTGCCACTTGGTAAATATTCAACAGATTGATCTAGGCTGAGATTTAGTTGGAGACTATACTGTTTTGCAGTAGCCTCCCAATCCATCTTGCATCAGCTATCAATCAGTAATAACTGTTACTAACAAGCATCATCAGTTTTTGGCATTTGCATGTTGGCCTCATTTTTCAGTCCTGCAAGTTGCTGCTTGGTTTAAATAGAGCACAGTCAAGTTTCACTTTCATTTCAGTTTTAATTTGTTAAGTTTAATAGTGAAACAGCGTGTTTGGTAAGTACTGAGCGTACAACTGGATAAATGAGATCTGCACAAACTGTGTGAGAGACAGTAAGCAGGTGTTTTAGTGTAGTTTTGCTGTTGTTAAACATGGTCCCCAATCATTCAATAAATCAATATGTTTGCCATTTTCTGTGGAAGCATTTGATAAAAATAGTTTTCTTCACGAATTCAAGGTAGCACCACATGACTAACTGACATTCAAATGGTCATTTTGTGGGTAAAGTTCTTCTTTTCTGTTGTTTTTATTGTTTTACTCCGTGTGCTTTTTTCTGTTATCCTTTATTGTTTTTATTCTATGTGCTTTTGACTGTTTGTGTTTTTACCTGTGTAATCTGTAAAGCACATTGAGTTGCCTTTGGGTATGAAATGTGCTGTGTAAATAAATTTGCCTTGCCTTTCATATAGGCAGGTTTTTTTTTCTTTTTTTTTCCAGAATTAAGCACCACATTTTTTAATATATCTTCAGTTTTCACGTTCTACCACCTGGATACACACAGGGATTACCTCGTATAATAATACTGAGTGTATCACTGCTGTCTAATGTTTGCTTTGCACTCTGTTCTGTATGTTATTGAGCACAAACTGTATCAAACATCAGATTATCTTTGCATTAATGCCACCAGAGGAACTCAGGAGAAAATCAGCTGAGCCCAGCATCTATTTATATGTTGTTTAAGATATACTATGCAGGATTTTCCTTAAAAACAATCATCACTTATGAGCCACTAGAAATGTTAAGGACATTCATGAGTGTTTTCCCCCACAGCGCTCAGGTGAGGTTGGGGCTTTGTGAAAAGGTAGAGACCAGGTTCCAGACCTAAAGCAGCAGGCATCCAAGAGATACAGTGCTGAAAAAACAGAAAAAAGTGAGGCAAAACACCAAACAAATGAATCTGTGGCTGCCCTTTACTGTTACTTTTGCTGGTGAGCCTGTTTACAGACATTAATGGACAATCCTGCATAGTATACCTTTAACATCAGGAATACATGGTGATTACAGGCTCTCAGTTAGTCTTAAGAGAGAGGAGGAGTGAACCGCTGCATTAAGAAGTGCAAAATCAATATCAAGATTACTCACGGTCTGCCTCAATCTCTCTATTCTCCTATCCAGAGCAGAAGATGCTCTTCATCACATATTTTATTGATTGTTTTCGGCGGGAAACTCATTTGTTTAATCTCATGCCTGAATCATCAGCTGATTGAAGTGTGGGAACAGACAAACAATGAAACCGCTGAGTAGCGATGTGGCTGCTTCAGGAGGACAGAGAAGTGATGAGACGACAGTATATCAGAGAACACATCATCTTTGTTCCTTACCTTGAAACTTTATCTCGAAAACGTCGTCATTGGGGATGGGGCTCGGCTGTTGGGAGCTGATGCTTGACTTACAGAAGTTTGGAGAACCTGGTTGGGGTGCCCGAGGGATATGCCTGTTCTTTTTCTTTGGTAGTTTCTGTTTCGCCATGGCCAGAGAGTAATACATTCCAAAGTTGTTGACAATCACAGGGACGGGCATGGCGATGGTCAGCACACCTGCCAGAGCGCACAGGGCTCCGACCAGCATACCGGAGGTCGTCTGCGGGTACATGTCTCCATAGCCAAGGGTCGTCATGGTCACCACAGCCCACCAGAATCCAATCGGGATGTTCTTGAAGTGTGTGTGCTCGCTGGCTCGAGGGTCATTGGGGTTAGCTCCAATCCGTTCAGCGTAGTAGATCATAGTAGCAAAGATGAGGACACCGAGGGCAAGGAAGATGATGAGGAGCAGGAACTCGTTGGTGCTGGCCCTCAACGTGTGACCCAGCACCCTCAGTCCCACAAAGTGACGCGTCAGCTTGAAGATACGCAGGATCCGCACAAAGCGGACGACTCTCAGGAAGCCCAGCACGTCCTTAGCTGCCTTGGAGGAGAGCCCGCTTAGGCCGACCTCTAGGTAGAAGGGCAGGATGGCCACAAAGTCGATGATGTTCAGGGCATTCCGAATGAAGTCACATTTATTCGGGCAGAAAGTTATTCGCATTAGAAATTCAAAAGTGAACCACACCACGCAAACGCCTTCGATGTAGGTGAGGTAGAGCGCAGTCTCAGTCTCCTGGTAGGTGTGCTCCACTGTGATGTTGTCCACCACCTCCACCTCAGTACGGTTGATGATGGGGTTGAAGGCCTCGTGGGTCTCCAGACAGAAGGTGGTGATGGACACCAGAATAAAGAACAGCGAGGCCAGAGCCACCCACTGGGCAGGAAATGTATTCAGGGTGCAGCACAAGAAATAGAGGGGAGAGAGGAGGGGGGAAGAAGGACAAAGAGAAGCACAGTAATTCATGCAATGTAATCAAGCTCAACGCCCAGCAGCCATTCTTAGCATGTCACAATGCAATTCAATCTATTATCAGAGACAATGCCGTCTGGTTTGACAGTGACAGTGGCATTGACACACTCTCTCGCTCCCCCCCTCCCTCTCCCTGCACTCTATGTGTCTTGATTCAGAAGTGTCACAGTAAAAGGGACAATCAATGCAAGCGTGCCGCTCTCGCTTCTGCCCCCCTCCACTGTATCTCAAGGTCATGGCATTTTCAAGGGCATGCTACATTAGAATTACTAAGAGCCAGCAGCAGCAGCAGGAGATGGGACATTAACCCACATGACTAAAATTAGCGGGGGCTCTTCCCTTCAGCACTATCACTACGGTACAGTAGGTCTTCCCTACACAAGGTCATACTATCCAGATGATCAACTCTTGGGAATCGTAGTGAGCTGAGAGGCTCGCTGAGCTGATGACAGACTTATATGAGGAACCTATATTTCCCTTAATGGTGAATGTGTACTTTAGCCTTCATTCTATATTGATTAGAGGATCAGATTTCTTCACATTTAGGTTCTGATATTCCTGATGCATACGACATGGGTGGAACAGATACAGTATTCTCTCCTGGGTATTGATTGCAACGCTGTCCTCATGTTATCCTGCTCTGATCATGCTATACTGGTTTAGAGTATACACGCTGTAGCTGGAGTGGAAAAACTGCCGTATCTTAAATGGGAATTGGAGGTCAATAGATCAGAGTTGCTGGACAAAGATTCAGACAGTTAGAGTGGATAGCTACTTAATCATCCTATGAATCACAAAAATTGGATCAATAGCAGTTTGTTCATGCATGACGATGTCTTTATAAGAGTAAGTGAGTCTCTGTAGTGCTGCTTAAACTAATGCACAGCGTTGTTAAGTAGCTGCCAGGAGGTTAGTTGGAGTGGGGCATGTCTGGGCACGAGGGCGTCTTACATATATTCCACTGAGCAAAGGAAACACTGCGTCTTAGTCAGTCAGGTCCATTCACAGTTTGTCACGCAGCACAAGATGGAAAACAGGCCCTCATCACAGCATCTCATCACTGGCAATTCATTGCATTGTGCTGAGGAAATCACTGTTGCTTATGAATGTCTGTTTCCCATCTATGTTTTTATAGCGGTCCGGAGGGAACCTGTGCGTTAGCAGAGACTTCGGCACGGCAACCTTCTTGCTGTCAGCAGGGCTGTCCTCTTTGTTCGGAGAGACAACTCACTCTGCGCAAAGAGGACACACACCAGATTATGAAGATGATGAAGGTTAAGATGGCATTTGAATTTTAAGACTTTAACCTGGCATGTGAATAGCTTTGTGTTCTTTAAAATTATTTTTAAAATAAAAACAATGTCCATATTTAAAATACTAATAGAGTGAAGACTAAAAGAACACTTGATATATTAATGCAGTCACACTCAAAATTACTACAATAAGTACCTTTGGGAGGCTAATAATGCTCATCTTTGTTGGTACACTGTGAGAGAGATTGTGTGTCAGTTTTTGAGGCATTAGCACAGTGTATGTGGTGCTGTTGTATTGGATTGCATAATATTGTTGTTTTGTCCACCCCCTCTACAGTATGTACTGTACAAAATAACAAGTACAACCTAGAATATAATACAATCCAATTCAACCACATTGAAAACTACGACCTTAAATAACAACAGATTGGAATAAACAGCAGAGGCTGAATTACCAACTGGGCAAAGTGGACAACTGGGGCTGGGACCCCGGACCATTATGGGTCCCAAGAGACGCAGACTGATTGTCAGCAAATGTGTTCTGATTTAATTAATTGCTGATTGTTTCGGAGCATCATGTCTGCCTGTATCTAAATTTATATGTTGCGTATTCCTGAATTAGTTTAGTGAAATTACCTAAGACAGATAACACACCACTGGGGGCATCTGTGAGTCAGCTGTCAACACCTAACCCGAGTGTTGGCATTGTCCATTTCTGCAAACTTTAGATAAGTAAAATTTGTATGTTTCGTGTGTAGTGGATATGAAATGTTGTGTTTCTTTGCGTTAAAATGTTATGTTGTGACAGCGATGTGGTTAATATGTGGTTAGGTTTAGGCACAAAAACTACTTGGTTAGGGTTAGGAAAACATCGTGTTTGGACTTAAAATACCGGGTTTGGTTGCTACAAACACAGCTGGACATGTCCCGACCTCTTGTTGAAAAATATCAGCTTTTGTCACTACAAACATGGCTGGAAATGTCCCGACTGCTGATCAAAATACCCATTTTTGGGTCACCCAGTAGTTCAGTGGGTAGAGCAGACACCCCATGTACAATGGCAATATCTTTGCCACAGCGGGTCCACTCCCCCCCCCCCAAAAAAAAAAAAAAACGCTTTTGAGATGTCCCGCTTTTATCGGCACAAACAGCAAACAGGGTTTGACATGTCACAATCTCTCATTAAATAATACTCTTTTTTCGTTACAAACACAGCTGGAAATGTCCCAACCTCGGATAAAATTACTTGCTGTTGTCACTACAAACACTGCTGGAAATGTCTCGTTAAAAAATACCTGCTATTGTCATTTCAAATATGGCTGGAAACGTCCCAAGTTGTCATTAAAATACCCACTTTTGTTATTTGTTGGTCTTTAACAGTGTCTGCTGCTGTTTGCTGCTAGGCAGCCGTCTCACCTAGGTGTCACGCCATCCACCATCCCTTTTCTGATGAGAAACTCAGCTCATACACATGTAATTTGAACTACGTCACTTTAGAAATATTGATGTGACATGTATGAACTGTATAAATGTAACATATCCGTGCTTTGCACAAGCGTATAATGCCAATGATTTGTTCTGTTGACTGGGCTGCAACACCTCAATTATGCAGTATGAACAAATGTTTAATATTTTAGGTTCACTGACAGTAGAGCTGAAATAATGAGTCACTTACTTGAACAGAAAATTAATCAGCAAAAACAGTTTGGGTCATTTTTTATGGAGTTATTACTGTGGGTTTTTTAGTTTTCTATGATTGCAGACTGCATCTCTTTGGTTTTTGGATTTGTTGACAGACAAAACAAGGTGTTTGAATATGTCAACATGGGCTTTAGAAAGTCGTGATTATTTAGTTAATCCAAAAGCAAGCACTTTGGCTGACTGTGACAGGTCTTTTAAACGTGCTATATAAATAAAAGTGAACTTGAACTTGAACTAAAAAATTATAATCCGATATCTCAATAATGAAAATAATTCTAATTTGCAGTGCTCTTGTCATTTTGTCAGCCTGTGTACAACAGTGAGCAAGAGAACTGTAAAATAAACATCACCATCACTGCCAGCACGCTTCAGTGTGATAAAGCCTCATTGTTATACTTTCATGCCTCCTGACACACTGCCTCGCTCAGCCCTCTGAACATCCCACCCCTCAAACGGTTAAACAAACGCTGCCTCTGATCTTGCCGCTTCGTACAGTAAATTGTGTCTTTGTGGCAGTTAGGGAACAGTGTGGCCTGAAAGGGAGGGCGACAGGCGAAGATTGTTTGTTCCTTATTGGCTGATTCTCACTGTTACTGGTGCACCCCAGGCCTACTGTGATACGCAGTGACAAGGGTTTTCCACTGATGTATCCACTGTGAATAGAGTCTGTAATTAACTCTGAGGATCTCTTCTAATTAATCTTCTTGCCAGTCTTGGTGGAGTTCTGTCAATCTTTGCTCTGCTTTGTCTTGCTCACTGTTAAATGTGGGTCACATCTAAGGATTTCTGTGCTTTGGGAAATATCCCTACGTGCAGAAAGTGAAATCTGAAAGAAGTCTGTGTGTGTGTTGGTTAAAGCATTCCCACTAATGCTTGCTGTAAGAGTGAGAACATGTCAATACAGTTTACACTTGCTGGATGGGGCCTGGTAACTAATTAGACCAATCAGTGCTACAGCTGTTAAACCAGCGGGCAGCACAGCAGTCTTTGCAGGGGACAGTGGTCCAAAAAAAATCACAAGGTGTAATGTCATTTCATTGTCACCATCAAGAGGCTTTACGCCCAGATGGAAAAGTGCCCATAACGATGACCAAAAATGTCACCTCAAACAGCAACCCAATTTTTTGTCTGGAAGTCTGCCACTAAAGTTCTGGTGGTGCCAAAGATCTGCTTTCCTAATGTGCATCTGACCTATTTAAACTCAGAGCCAGGCTGCTCAGGGATTCTTGTGCCCTGGAAATATCAATCCAAAGACCAGCGAGAGCCACAATCACTCTTTATCTTCTCCTGCCAGATAGAGGAGGGTGGGAGTGATGATTTGCATGTAAATGATTTTGACAGATGAGGTCTTTGGCTGATTTTTCCACCCCTCCTTCTCTGGACAGTCACATCCCTGCTGTGGAGACCCCTGGGAGGGCAATTTCAAGGTCATCAAAAGCCTCTTTAAATCTCCCATGGCCATCAATCTTTGTTTCACCACCAAGGGACAAACACATTCACAACTGAGCTCCTGCATGCAGCTGTTGAACATTTTGTGTGTTGTTTTAAGTCAGGATATGCCTGTGATAACTCCTGATGTGGTTTTCAGATCTTAAGTTCACTAAGGAGAACAAACATCTCAGACTTAAAAGCAACTCACCCTTGCATATTTAGAGGAGTAAGGGTCCTCAAACAGAGCCCAAACATGTTTCTGCCATCGGCTCCACAGGCTTCCACTCCTGGCATCATGAGTGTCTGCCTGCGCCAGCCTCCTTGTCATTTCATCCACATCATCCTCGGCAGTATGCTCCAGCTCTGGCTCCGCATCATCGCTCCCCAGGTCTAACAGGCCCCCCCCGCCGAAACTATCAAGGGCCTCCTCTGCCTCCCGGTGCTGGCGATAGGTCATCCAGCAGCATGGCTCCACGTCTGTCTCATCAATGCCCCAGAAGGCCAGTTCCTCCTCATAGAGGGGCCCGCAGACATCAGCCGGGCAGTGCAGTTTACCTGTCCTGTAGTAATTAAGGATATGTGCAAACACGCCAGGGTGGCGGTCGAAGAAAAATTCCTCGATCTTGGCATCATAGTCAAAGTGGTTGGGTGCATCAGGCTCGGCCAACCAGGACAAACGGGTGCCAGGTAGAGTGCGCAGGGTGCTGCGGTATGTCTGATGTCTGATCCCTCCCACGTTTATCACAATGCGATCCTTGTCGTCGCTCAGGCCCATTGCGTCCCTTAGGCATTTCTCCAATAAGTTCCCTTCATCGCAAAGGTAAGTCTAGGCGCCCCTGTGCAACCATGCACAGCACTGATCACACTGAAGCAAACAATTACATAAAGGCAGCAGCGCGCAAAACAACCTGTCGTCTCTCACCAACTATGAAAGAAATCGGGGCTGTTGGACACGCATCAGGCTACATTCACTCTAAATAAACCCTGCGTTTCCTACGAGCACCTGTCATGCAACTGGAGGATCATAAACGCTTATAGCTGCCAGACTCACTGGAGGGTATAGAATCGAAATCCAAAATGATTGCAGCCAATGGCATCACATTAAGAATGGACGTCACATCGTCTGTAAATCCAAGATGTCGAGATAAAAACACAAACGCTGACAAATTTCCCCCCCGCCAGGAGAGCAAATCCAGCTCATTGGACTCCCCAAGTTGCGGTGATTGATCGGATCAGTCCTGAGCAGGTTTATGACTTTCACAGCAAGGTGACTGCGGTGGTGCTGAGCGGACAGCGCCTGTCCGGCAGCTCCTGATGGAGACTCGGCGCTGTTTTCAGTCCCTCCTCTGTTGCTGCCTACAGACTCACCTCCTTCACACCGACGCTCAGCCCGCTCCCTCTCTGCGTGTAACGACACACCGCCGCTGTACACCAGCTCTTTGTCTCAGCGCAGAGATACTCTCCTGCATGGGAACTTTCCTTCACGCATTGCTCATAAGGAGAAACACCCACAAAATGCTCTTATTTCTGTGCTGTGTGGTGAAGCAAAATAGAAAAATGAGAGATGAGAGGGTGACAAACCTCCTCTCAAAAAAACGCCCAAACTGCCTGTTATTCACACCGTGCCCAGCTCTCCTCTCAGATCACATGGAGCATGCCCAGTGGACCCTGCATCTGTTAAAACCCGCTGTCAAGCCCTCTAATTAAAGCTGTTGAAATTGTCATCGCTGCCCAAATTTTGTCACTTGGAGGGTTTATGGTCGGTCAGCTGCTGCAGCAGTCAGGAGGGACTCTTCATGCACAGCTGGCTGGAGAAGGAGTGACCCTGGAGCCATGAACGCGCAGATCCGCCCATGCCATCAAAGAGAGACTGATCATATTACCTTCTGATAGCCTCGTGATTTACTGATGTGAGACTCAGACTGTTGTTGACAGGCTGCATGTGTGTGTCCCCTCACTGACTGTGGAGATATTTGTAGAACAAAGAGCTGAGAGGGTTTTTTTCTTATTTTGCGCAAGTCTTATGTGCTGCACTTGTGTGTAATAATAATTAGCCTCCACCTGTGTTTTCATGTGCCAGCAGAGGGCGCGATTGCTCACTGCAAAGAGGTGCCTCTTTGGTCCCTTTCATTTTGTGTTTGTTAATTAACGCGAGATCTTAAAAACGTGTCAACAGATTAAACAGGCCTACATGGAAAACTGGGCCATGATATAAAGGATAAGTGCTTACTTTTTAGTGTGGATTGATGATTTTTTTTCCCAACATTTTCATAGCTCATTTGACACATTTTGTCATGAATTAAACTTGAATAAGAAAAAAATCAATCAATGTCACACATGTAAACCTGCACCATTATTACTATGTGTATGCTGATGCTGAAGTGTTTCATTAATTAAAAAAAAAACACAAGGGATTGCACTTTTTCCCTTCCTTTTTTCTCCTCCCTTTCCTCTAGAAAAAAACATGGGACTTTCTGTCCTACATTTCATCTGACCATAACCCAATTTTAAACTTGCAGAAGAACAAAGTAGAGCTCTCTGTGTGCGCACTTGCGGATGGGGAGCTCCCCCAGCCTTCTTCTTCTTCTTCTTCTTCTTCTTCTTCTTCTTCTTCTTCTACTCTTCCTCCTGTCTGCTTCACTTGGTGGTGGGGCAGTTCTCCGTCTCGGTTTTCACTCTTGATTATAAAGGAGGAGTTTGCAGCACAGAGGCGCTTATACCCCAACTGGCCTGAATAAAGTCTGGCAGAGACAGTGTGATCCGGGACAGTAGACTGACCTCACATAGTGACTGATTTGGGGGTAAAAAGGACGAGCTGATAAAGAAAACCTTGGCAACATGGCTGTGGCGGGCTGCACGAAGTGTATTAAATACATGTTATTTTTCTTTAATTTTATTTTCTGGGTGAGTTGAAGTTTGTTTTTTTTTACTCTTTGATGTTCGAGTTACTTTTGCTTTGTTAAAACTTTCTCTTGTTTGATTATGCGCATGCACGTTTGCACATCTGTGAAGCTCAGGGCTTAAAGTTAATAAGTAATAGGGATCCTGGAGGAGATACAGCAGAGTTTCCCGCCCTGCTGTAGTGATTATGCTGCTTTGACTTTGAGAGACGAAGCACAGCTCACAAATACTTAGTCCAGGCAGGAGCTGAAATGCTCTCCATCAACATGTATTTTCTGCCTGGTCGAGCACCAGTGCAAGGTGGCTGAGAGGAGCACTTCACACTGGGTGGGCTTCTGTCTCCTCAGTCTTCTCACTGGGATTATACTGCTTTCTCTCCAGCATGTCTCTTACAGCTTTAGATCCATCATTTGATTGTATTGAATGTATGCTTATAATAGGCAGATACTCCGGACAGGAAGGCCTGATTTCTGAAGTTTTCTGATGGAAAATTATTTAAATTTTCTTTCCGTGTTGGATGATTTCTTGCCACTTCAAGGAGTCTGGTCCCCCTCAGATTAAACACCCATAAAAGGGGAGCTTGGGGAAGACTAATAGACTTTCTGGGGGAGGGGAAAGCTGTTTCCCCTCCTTTGTTCCTACCTGGTCACCAGTCTGTAGCATTTGCTGCCTTTGTGCTATTTTGTTGTTAATTAGTTCTCATTCTCTCTTCAAACTGAATCGAGTCAATCTTGTTTTCTCAAAAAAGTTATTGCAGTCATAAGGGACTTGCCACAGTAGTCACTAATGCAGCTGTCTGCGTTTCACACATCATTACATCCCATCAGACTTCCTGCAGATGTTCACTGGTGGCTTTACACAGTCAGAATTGATCACTACTTGTTTGTTAATTTCCATGTGGATTGTCTGTACAGAGCAGTCGTCTTTTTTTAGATAACTCACCATATCCTGGACCCGTCACACTTGATGGAGTGTTTCCTCTGTTGGTTTTGCTGCTGTGCCTGTCACTGTGAAAACTCTGAGCCCTCTCTTCCTCGTTTTGCTATTTTTCACATTGAGGATTGAGTTTCCTGTTTCTTGGAGAACAATGGAGTGCTGTCATGTCATATAAACATTGGCATAACGAAAAAAAAGTGTCAGCTTGTGAAAATAAAATGCACTGATCCTTCAATAGTTACGCTCCATCAGCTTTTACTTCGCTTTCACTTTTACCAGGATATTTTTGCATTTTTAGATATAGAAAAGAGGAGAGGTAAAGTTGAACAACAAAGCTCTTGAGCTGGCTTTAAACAAAGGAGTGAGGACGTGGTCTGTGCCGCAGGTCACTGAGGTGTCAGGATGTCCTTTCATTACTTCTGTGAAAGGGCATCGGACAGTTTACAGCCTCATGGCGGAGCTGAACACACAGAAACGTTAGCAGAAAGGTTTGGACACTGCTTTGATCTTAGCAGAGTCGAGCCTTGTGCACTCTCTCTTGATGGGTCTTTTTAAAATAAAGTCTTAAAAATGGATAACTACAGGTTTGTTCTAATATTCAAGCTTACATCTCTTTATTATCAGACATTTTTAATGGCCCTGATCCTCTCCAAGGTTTCACCAAAGTAAAGAAACATGAAGGGAAATAATTAAAACCATATTTCTCTTTGGGACAGCTGGCCGGAGGTGTGATATTAGGAGTGGCCCTTTGGCTCCGCCAGGACAGTCAAACCAGCAACCTCCTCATACTCCAGTTTGATGGCCAACAGGCGCCAGGCACCTTCTACATCAGTGAGTATTCAACAGCAGAGCTTCACAATCACCCCATACATTAGTTTGAGATGGACTTGAAAATGCTTTTTCCATATTTTCATCATTACATCATTGAATTCATTTTTCATGGAAAAGCTGTTAATATTTCAAGCTTCAATGCTGAATGTCCACTGAGCGCAGTGGCCTCATTTTTGGCTCTCACAGGGTGTACAAATACATCTTACAATATGCAGTCCCTCCAGGATTTCACAGGCTTTGTTTGGGATTGCTGTGGCCCAAAATACCTGATTTGACAGCAGCTTTTCTAAAAAAAATTGTTGTAATGTTTTTAGGCGTTATCTTTTCTTGAAGATAGCAAAAAAAATTGGATTATTTGGATAATTCATCAATAAAACACTAAAATCACAACTTCTGTATTTAATATAACTCACTTTGATTCTATCAGCTCTTGCGATAGATCTGGAAGTAACTGTCTCTGTCTCTGTCATAGTGATCTGTCTTGTTCGGTATCCACATGTTTCAGCTTTTCTCTGGGTGAGGTTTTGCGGTAAAGTTAGAAATGTGTTGGTCAGTTGATGTTGTTTGTGTTCCAGCACATCATTACACATGGTGCACAACAGTTAACCCATGCTTTTGTGCAATACATCAGTCACTTGTCTTGTGCGGCCTTTCGCAGTAAATTTTGTTGGTAAATGTGAGACATTCATGTTGCACATGTCTGCATCCTAGACTGTATAAAATGATAGACGTAGCTACTGTGACGTCAGCCTTTGGCTCATGGACTGCTGTGTTCTTTTGGCATTTTGGCCATCGCCATTTTGGTTTTTGGAGCCTGAAGTGACCATATTTGGGCAAGAGGGCGGAGCTATGGAGAAGTGAAGGGTGGATCTGACTGAGAAACTGAGGACACTCGCCAGACAGCCTGTCACTCAAAGCAGCCTACCCTTAATTATGCATGACTTTAGGCCCATAATAATTGTCTGAGTTATATAAAAATTTAGCCCCTGGACAGGTGTCATGAAGGGGGAAATTAGCTGTAGAGACCAAAACCTCTTTTTGCTGTACAAAATAAAAGAATGGCACACAAACAATTACATATGTAAAAAAAAAACATTCGAAAATACTACAATATTAAAACCACTACAAACAACCAAAGCCACTGAAAACATGAATGTTTTAAGATTTATTGTAAAAGTGTCAGCGGAGGAGGATGATGTGATTGAGAGCAGAAGGCTATTCCAAAGCTTTGGAGCAGCTACTGCAAAGGCACAATCTCCCTTACCCACCCGCCTCGATTGCGGGACAGTTAAAAGACATTGTTCTGAGGATCTAAGAGGTCGGGAGTTGGAGTAGGACCAGAGAAGATCAGCAATATACTGTGGTGCCAGCCCAAGTATGGCTTTAAAAATAAATAAAAGAACCTTAGCCACTGCAAGCATGTTTACTTCTGCTGTAAAGCTGGACATTTTAACATGGGGGTCTACAGGGATTGACTCACTTCTGGAGCCAGCCTCAAGTGGCCGTTCAAAGAACTGCAGTTTTTGGCATTTCTGCGTCGGTGTTATTTCAGTTTGCTCCTTGGTTTACATTTTTACCACAAACAGAGAGATGAGTTTGGTGATGTTGTGCGGGGGACTACTATGATTTGTGAAACTCGTGAGAAGCTACAATAATTGGTGACATTTGTGGACAAAACTGATGGTCGCGCAGATCTTACAGGGATTGGTTGAATTTGTGTTTATTGTTATTATTTATTTTATAGTATTTATTTCAGGGCTACAATATAATGTGTGTTTAATTTAGCCTGCTGTTAGTTGCTTCATCATCATCATCATCATCATGCCTCCAACCAATTTCCTCATAAGGGAATGTCCTCTGTGAGACACTAGTTGTTCTTTCTCTTGGATTCTTTGGTATTTCTATCCTTATTGCTCACCCTCCACATGACAGGAAGCTCACTGTTAACAGAGTGACTAAAATTACTAATTCACAGACGTACCTGTCTTTTACACTCAGCTGGACCCACAAAAATCCAGAAATAGTAGGAGTTGCGTGACCTCTGACAGAAAGATCAGGAAACAGGACCTGCGTACATCCGCAGCGTGACTTAAGAGTGACACAGCCGGCGTCTACACCTCAGTGTTTTTACTCTCTAGCTGTCACTATGACACTGGTGACCACATACTATAGGTGTAATTCTGAGTCGGATAAATATACATGTTTATAACTCCAGCCTGGAGGGTCTTTCAAGAGAGGGACCAGATGTTTCAGACAGATGTTGAGACATATGTGGGCTCTAAA